GGAACTGTACAGGGAACCCCACCTAGATATGTGAGATATTGGGACTGTGAGGGATTTATAAAGGGATCCCGCACAAAATACATATGGTGAATGTTGGGGATTAACTTGTTCCCAGTACTCATGGGACAGCTGGCCCGTTGTGGAGTTGGGACCCTCTTTCTCACAAAAAGGAGGCATATGTGATGAAGAGTATATTTATTTAGCACGTGCAGTATTTCTGTAGCAGCCACTGAAGCTGTATCTGGTCTAATGGGAGCCTGTTTTGTGGTGCTGTGGGAGAAATGGCATCTGAAGGCCTTCGCTGTTTTTGGTTGAGATTGACACACCTACTCCTTGTTTCCCTCTAACACCCCATGTAGTTGGTGTGATGTAATATTTTATTAGTTTAACGCTTTTGTGATCATGCCTCCTTTTTTCATTTATAGCCACTTTCAAAATTTGCTCTGAGATGAAATTTACTATACAAGGTTTTTAGCCTGGGAGCAAAACACCTTATGAGTTCCTATCAAATAAAACAGCTCAGCAGTTTTAAAATTGACATGTGTGCTGGTCAGGCATTTGGTGCTGCTTTATTGCACATACGACCCTCTGGGAAAGTGCTGCCCCAGACAAGGAAGTCCCCTAGCTAGCTCCAGGGCATGTTCCAGCAGTGGTTACAGTGGCACAAGTATCCCACATACCTGACAGCATTGCACCTGCCAGTGTCTCTCTTCCCTGATCGGAAGGGAGTTCAATCCTTGGCCTGTTCGCAAAGACTTGCGACAGTAGAGCTGTGTGTAACTATCCCATTGAAAAGTGAGATGGATTCCAGCGTTTGCTGATTCATAGGTTCTGTCTACAGCTCTCTATATAGAACTGTTTTGTGCATGCAGGGGCCTCTTGGTGCTTTCTTGTCAACCATGGCGAAGCAGCAAAACAAGGATCCTGGGTTAAAGGAGAAGTTTAAGAGCCTCTTAGGTCTGGGACCATCCCGGGCTAGTTCCAAATCATCAGAGGGCAAGCAAACAGAGTTTATCATCACTGCGGAAATACTCAAGGTAAATTGTCATAAGGTTTGAGGACTGAGTTTAGAGTATAAGCTGAGATTAATGGGCGATGAGCACAAAAATGGAGGGGGGGGGGGTGACTTGGTGGTTAAAGCTGGAGACAGGGAAATGGGACTCCTGAGTCCTTTTTCCAGCTTTGCCACTGACTCCTTTTGTGACCTAGGGCAATTCACTTATCCTACCTGTCTCTCAGGTCAATCATAGATAAAATGGGGGTAAGGTTACATACCTCATAGTATTGCCAAGTCTTAATTAGTTAACATGTCTGGGTAGTTGGAGATGCCTGGCTGAAAGGCGCTGTGTCAATGTAAAGCGCAATTATATTAGGCTAAATTAGAGCACACTTTCCATTTCCCCCTCATTCTGTCATCATTCTACATGAGTTTTAACCTGCTGATGTTGGTTACAGCTTCATTTGAGTGCATCTCTGTGGGGGTGACTAATGGTTAGGCTCTAAAAAAAATTTTTAGACAATGTGGAGCTAATTTTATAATGATCCAAGTGGTCATTTTGAGAGATGGAGAGGGATGTTTCTCATGAAGAAAGGCAGAGCCTGGATTATCTTAATTATTTCCATTCTTCTTTTCAGGAATTGAGCGTAGAGTGTGGATTACATAACCGGATACGAGCGATTGGTCAAATCTGTGAAGTAGCAAAAACCAAAAAATTTGAAGAGGTATGTTTGCTGTCAGGTGTAGGGTAAATGTTAGGAGGATTGAGATAAGCTTTAAGCAACAGCCTTTGACTTCTCTTGTCACAAGATGCTTAGGTAATTTGGCCTACCTTAACATTGTTATAATTGTTGTAATCCAGAAAGTTATATCTTGCATTTTTATTGTGCTGTACAAACCTATAAGAAATTAATGATCCCTGCTGCAAAGACCATTGGAACAATTTAATAGGGGTAGTGGAGGACTCTCCATCCCTGGCAATGATTAAATCAAAATTAGATCTTATTCTAAAAGACAGGCTGTAGTTCAACCCCGAATTATTTCAAATAACTTCTATGGCCTGTATTATGAAGGAGGTTAGATGAGTTGATTACAATGGTCCCTTCTGGCTTTCGAATCTATGAATTTGTATTAGTCTGATTTGGACAGTGGAAACATAAACTGTACAACAAAGAGCTCACACTCTAAAGCAAAGCAGAGAGAGAATCATTGAAAGGCTTTCCAGGACAAGTAGTTTAAGAGGTGCTTAAAAGAAGACACCAAAGTTATAACACCTGTTGTAGGGTGGTGGGACTCTGCTCTTGACCTAACCTTATTAGTAGCTGTTACAGTCCTGCAGGGAAGTGTCCGCTAGTTCCCTTTGACCTAGAGTTGCTCTACGAACAAACAGGCACTGAAATAACTTTAAATCCGCTTTAATTCACACTCTTAATTATGTCTGTGCAAGTCTCTGCATTAGATGCTCTTTATATCAGATTGTCATGTTGGTTAAACTCAAAACAAAAGCGTCCACACAGAGGCTTGCATGGAAATAGCTAATGGTATGAATGAAGCCAGTCCAGTCATTTTGTTTATGTGTAGGCCAACTTTCGCTGGGCAGATGTGGCTCACAAATTCCACTCTGGCTATAAGAGAGGTGGGTAGAAGTAGCACTCAGGGAGGAGGGCATTCGGAAGCTAGGGGGCATGAATCTTGTTAACTCTTCTCAGTGTAACTTGCCCCAAGTCAAGAAGTGACTGCATCGTAGGGGGAAAACCCTAGAAGAAGCTTAACCCTGCTAACGATAGCTATCTAATAAATGGTGCTGTTGCTTTCTATGTCCACTTACAGCATGCGGTGGAAGCAATATGGAAAGTGGTAGCTGATATGCTGCAGCCAGAGCTACCAGCAGAGGCCAGACATGCTGTGCTTCACCTGCTGAAGGCCATCATTCAAGGACAGGTAAAGCCTCCCCCTTCCAAATAGGGCTTGCATGGAGCAAGGTGAATAGCACGGGCTGGCTGCCTCCTGCCATTTACATTCTTCTCGTTCTTTATCTTAGTCCAGCACAGTGAACAGGAAACGTTTAGCGTTCAGTTTGATTAATTCTCTTGACTCTCAGTTTAACCTTTTTTTCTCTTTTAATTTGGGAGGAATTTTGTACTCCTGAAAAGGGGGAGTGATTGCAGTGGCTGAATTCAAGCACAATGCGGCAGGCACTGTATAATCTCGACAGCTGTGTCAAGCACCTTAATCCTGACCTGCAGCATCCCTGCTCTGGCAGGTATGCCAGGCATCGAGGCAAATTCCGTACATGAGCCCTTTTCTTCAGTCTGATCAAGTCAAGCTCATTATGAACCCTCAAGCTATTACAGCATCCCACTGAGCAGTGCTGTCTGTAGCGTTTCCTTTTCAAGTCCTGGAATTAGTGATCTGGCTGTTGCTACGTGGGCCACTTTCCGCATCTGGGGTTCTGGGCCTGCTGAATGTTGGAAAAGCTGTCTGGGGTCAGTGGGGACAGCTTGATAAACGTCTGTAAGAGGCTAAGGAGAACTGACTGCCTTCCCAGCAGACCATGGGAAGATTTTCAGTAGACACTCACACAGCCCAAGGGGGAAAAAGTTTGCTTTTAAAGTGTGAAGAACATTCTTATAGTTTCCTAATCATGGTCAGTAATAAGTCTAGTTTTCAGTTGCTATTGTGTCTCACACTATAATTCTTTCTCCTTTCAGGGTGAGAGACTAGGGATCCTCAGAGCACATTTCTTTAAGGTTATCAAGGATTATCCTTCTAACGAAGATCTTCATGAACGGCTTGCAGTGTTCAAGGCTCTCACTGATAATGGAAGATCCATAACCCACCTGGAGGAAGAATTGGGTAGGTGTTGCATACAAATGCTGAGGGTTGCTGTTGTTTTCAGATTCTGACATAGGATTGTCCAAAAGTTGCAATGTCGTTGTTTTAAAATCATGCTGAAAAAAGCTTCATTATGCTGGTTTTACCTTTTTAAAATAAAATTCCATGGCTTTTCTATAGGGCATAAAAATTATGTACTATTCTACATTATTGTGTAAAGTCTTAAGGTACAAATTCTCCCATGCTGGTGTGATAAACAATTTTATAGTAGTGACGAACCTGTGGATGTTCTGCATCTGTGAGTTTGGGGAGTTCTCTTAATTTTAAACTGTTGCCTGTTTATTTTTGGAGGGTTTTCTGTTGGTGCCGTCTTGTGGCAAACTTAATACAACCCATCTGACATTGTTTTACATCTGCAATGTGTTTCGTTCCAGGCAAACTTAGCAAATTCATAAAAATGTGAATTCAATGCATGTGGCAGTTTATAGCAAGATAAGGGATATGAGAGCAAGTCAGTTGTAAGCAACAGCTAAGAAGAGTGTGATAGATCAAATAGCAGCCTTGGTCAATCGACCCTCTCTCTTTATTATTGCCTTCTAGGGAGCAGTTTATGTAGCTGGAAATACATCAAAGGACAGATCTCTCTTTCAGCAAGTAGGGCCAGAAGGGAATTTGCAGCACTTTTGGATTGAAACCATGTTGTAACACCACCACTTCCTTCTCCTTTAGCTGAGTTTGTCCTGCAGTGGATGGATGTCGGGTTGTCTTCAGAATTCCTTCTAGTTCTAGTGAACCTGGTCAAGTTCAACAGCTGTTACCTGGAAGATTACGTTGCTGATATGGTCCAGTAAGGTTAAACTATTAACACTTATTGTTTCTAAATTGCTGGGCAGTGTTTGTGGATAAATTCAGTGGTCTAAATTTTCAACAGACCTCCAGGTGTATGTATTTGCACGTGCAAATCTCTGTTTTGTATACACAGACTGACCAGTTGGGTGACAAATGACCCAGCTAGCCTCTGCAAGTGTGCTTTGGGGGGGGGGAAGGTGTGGAAAGGGTATCTGTTGAAATAGTATTAGTGTGGCTGTGGTCAGAAAAGTGATTAAAAATGGCACCGAGGTGCTTTTATTTCAGAACGTACGTGGTTGTCAGAGCTGACTTTTCTGGCAAATGTATTCTTTTGCTATTCTTAGCTGTTTGGGCTCTAAAGAGCTATGGGAAAATGATCCTGTTTCTGGATTATGTTCCTGTCAGCAGAATAGTTCAATAGATTCCAGTTGCAGAATCTGCCCAGAATTATACCTGTGTAACTGCACTGAAGATGGCGGGGTGCATGGGTGTACATGAAGGTAGAACTTGGCTGGCTTAGTCATCATAGCTCAGTGATGCTTAAACCTGAAAGAACCCATCTCGCTTTCCTAAACCCAGAACGGAAGATGCAGGGGTGACAGATTAGAAACCTATTTGTGTAAATCAACCAAATTGATATGGAACCAATGAAAAACAAATGTGGAGTCTCTCCATGTCATGTTTGCTCACTTTTCAGAGTAGAACTTTCCTTCACAGGCCAGTTGGTCAAGAGAGCTCAGCTCCCAGCCACTCCCAAAATCTGATTCTACTTGTTGGCACTGAGCACTTTTGAAGATCTGTCCATGAGCCCTTAGACAGTATAATGCAATACACCAACTCTTATAATATTCTAATCTATAAACCTGGGTTAAATTACATAGTGCTCAATCCCCGGTTTGTATAGGAGATGAACTTGACCATATTCTCTTCACTAGATTTACATACTTGGGACTCTGGTACCCAACCGTATTTAATGAATAGTAATGGTAGTGAGATGTAGCTTAAGTGCAGCTGCAAACTGTTCAGAAAAGGGCTGGTGACACTAAGCATATCCCCCAGAAGTATTATCAACTGAGCCACAGTCAGGAAAGCAACAGGGCAAACTTCTACACTAATCTAATTGTGTTACTTTTGGACAATTTTTTTTGGTCATTTGTTAAATTTGATTAAAATAAACATATTTAACTACGTTTTCCTCCAACAGTATGATCTGCCTATTGTGCGTTCGGACATCATCATCGGTTGACATAGAGGTCAGTAATTGGAGCCTCTTCTAATATCGATTACATTCTGTAGAACTGTATCCGTTACAGCTCAGGCCGCTTTTGAGTAGCTAGACCAAAACTCTCTAGGGTTCCCAAGGATTTTTTTCCTTCAGGGAAAGCTGCTGTAGCAAAGTGTGGAGCTTACTATATTGTTGGGCGTTGAGTGGAGAGAGGCATTATGACTTACATGTCTGAGCATAGAGGTGGGAACCAGGATATCATGAGTCACAGTCCTAACTGGACAAGTCACTTATCCCTCTCTTACTCAAGTTTCACCACCTGTAAAATGAGGAGAGTACAATATTGTGAGGATTAACTAACTCTGTAAAGCACTTCGGGGTTGTGTAAAGCACTGTACAGCTACTAAGTTATTAATTTAGTTATAAAACCTTGGGACAAAGGAACCAGGGTGATCTTGCTAAGGGATTCCCTTCACTGCTTTAACCATCCTTGTCATGGTTTGGTTTACATCCTGAACTGATGAACACCTGGTATATCCCTATTGACTTCTGAGGAGTTTTGTGGCCGTAAGTCAGGACAGAGTTTAACCTGCTGTATTTCAATGCTAGGTCAAGGGAGAAGTGAGTAACCATTGTGCTTTTCACCCCCACAAAGGTCTCCTTGCAGGTCCTAGATGCTGTGGTTTGCTACAACTGCCTGCCCTCGGAGAGCCTCCCGGTATTTATCATCACCTTGTGCCGCACCATCAACGTTAAGGAGCTTTGTGAGCCATGCTGGAAGGTCAGAATCCTTTCGTTTCCCTTGACATGAGTTCATGTACCATGCACAGTTTTGTCTCATTAAAGCAATATTGTTCTGGATATTAGTATGTTAAAAATCTAGACTCCAGTTACCTTTATTATGATTATAATAGTTCTTTGAGAGGAGATCAGAGCATATACCACACTTCTCTAGTTTATTAAATGCCACACTATCCATTATTAAATTGCAAATGTAACCTGTCTTGACTGACGGGACCCTGAAGCTGTATAATGACCTACTAAAACCTTCTCTGAAAATCCTCTAATACTTGCTTTTTAGCTTATGCGCAATCTCTTGGGAACCCATTTGGGGCACAGTGCTATATACAACATGTGCCGCATCATGGAAGACAGGTATGGAATATCATGCTATGAAATGGGTTTTTTTTTTTTAAAAAAGCTCAGTGTTGCTTTGACTGAAATAAATGACGTACTGATTCTAATGGGAGCAGGAGCAGACCCAAAATTTCATGTGTGGTGTAGTGGTTAGAAATTATGACTGCTTTGTGATTTTGGACAAGTTAATTAGCCTTGATAGCTCAGTGGTTTGAGCATTGGCCTGCTAAACCCAGGGTTGTGAGTTCAATCCTTGAGGGGGCCATTTAGGGTTCTGGGGCAAAATCAGTACTTGGTCCTGCTAGTGAAGGCAGGGGGCTGGACTCAATGACCTTCCAGGGTCCCTTCCAGTTCTAGGAGATAGGTATATCTCCATATATTTATTTTATTTTTATATTGATTTATTTACCTATGTTTCCCCATTAGTAAAATGAGAACAGTGCCTAAATGGTTAGTCTTCATGGTTTTAAAGTCCTTTAAGATGCTCTGCTTTAGAAGTACTAAGTAATATTCATTTCCCTTTGCATGAGTCTTGTACTCTAAAACTAAACCTGCCGCAATAGTGTGATCTAAGAAAATCTTGGCTTACCTTCTGCACCCTGTCTTAGAGCCTACATGATGGATGCAGCATTACTGAGAGGAGCAGTTTTCTTTGTCGGAATGGCTCTGTGGGGTGCACACAGACTGTATTCTCTCAAGAACTCACCTACATCAGTGCTGCCCTCATTTCTCAAGGTAAAGTGGTACTTGGGAGGAACTTTTATCTTGTGATCGTGCCTAGGCGCCTCAGTCGAGGACCAGCACCTCACTGTGCAAGGGGCTGTGCAAACTCAGAACAACAAGACAGTTTCTGCCCCAAAGAACTTCCAATCTAATTATAAGACAAAAGCCAACAGTTGGATAGAGACAGATGGGGGAACACATGAAAGAAGGAGACAATAGCTATTTCAAGCTTAAACTGATGCTTCGTTTGGAAATATTTTACTGATCCACGTAGCAATTCTTGAATTTTTCATAGTTCTTTAGAGTTTAAGGTCAGAAGGGACCATTAAAACATCAAGCCTGACTTGATTTAACACAGGCCATTAATTTCACCCAGTTACCCCATAACGTGGGTTGAACCTAAAGCATTTCAGTCCTCAGCAGAGTGAACTGTTGTGTGCACAGGCAGAGGACTGGACACAGAGGAACCACAAACAACATTCTAGATGGTTTAGAGAGCTGAAAAAACCCTATCCCTGCTGCAAGTAGATTCCAGTCTACAGCGTACAAATGCAGGGAGAGGGGACAAAGTCAGCATGAATGAAAAGTGAAGTGTGACACTTCTTTTTTTTTTTTTAATTTTATTAGTGCCAGGATTTTTTAAATGGAGAGACACCCTGAGGGGAGGATTAAGATTTATGAGCTTGTTGGCAGAAGTGCCTGTTAATGGAAACTACAGCTATTTGAGAGACGGCCGAAGCATTTGACCGGCTGGGTGTTAGTGCTGGAAGCTGTACTGTGATCACCTCTCTACCAGGGCACTTACTAAACCCTTGGTACGATATTAAATTGGGAGCAGCCTGCCACCTTCCGTGCCCTCTTCTGTATTTTGGGAGATGGCAAGGCTATTTTTGTAATGGATTTTAACCACAACAAAGGGAATGGTGTTAAAGTTCCCTTATTGGCTGGCCACGCTGTATGTTTGAAATGTAGATTATGCTTTAGGCCAGAGAGAGTCCCTGAAACAATATTAGAAGTTTCATGGGCTTGGTATGAGTGACCAGATTGAGTTGTCTCCTTACAAAATCCTACTGTCTCTTCAGCATTTGGGGACCTTTCAGCCAAACCACGAGAGTTACCATGTTCTAAACTGAACTACGTACTCCAGTGAGGGGTGTATGTCGTGTCATGTGCAGCTGGTAGCACTGTCTCCAACCCCCTGTTCATGTGGAACCAGGGATGCATTTTAACATCTGACTTGCACCTGTTGGGAATACATTATTGTGCTTATAAAATGGCCATCTTTGATTGGCTTTTGCAGCTGTAGCCTCAGACTTTGAGCTTGTCTAGCCTTGAAACACTACAGTGGCCGTGCTGCAGTTGTGTCACTGTAGCACTTCAGTGTAGACACTTACTACAGCAACGGAAGGGTTTCTGTTCCCGTCGTTAAACCACCTCCCTGAGCGCAGTAGGTAGGTTGATGGAAGGATTGAGCCCTTCAGCTAAACTTCTTAATATGTAGGATGTTGATCGACTTCAGTTTAAGACGGTTACAGATCATTAACCGACCTGAGGAATTTGTGTTCCAGGCCATGACTTGTCCCAATGCAGTTGTATCTTATGAAATAGTCCTGTCCATAACCAGATTAATCAAGAAGTATGGGAAGGAGTTGCAGGCTGTCACTTGGGATATTCTTCTGGATATCGTTGAGCGATTACTCCAGCAGCTACAGGTAGGTATTGAGCCAAATCTTGATATACGTTATAAAAACATCTTGTAGGAAGTATTTTGGTTTATAAAATGGTCTTATTTTTTAATACCGAAAAGCACTCTACGGCTTCTGCTGTTGATGGGGGGTAGCGTGTACCCTGCCACAGCCTATAGCCTTGATGTCTGAACCTGGGGCTCTCCCGTCAGTGGAGCTATGCTTGTCATGGAGGTGGCGAGGTATTTGGTGTTGGAAGGGAAGAGGATTGAGTGTGGGTCTGGCCTAACTTCTGACTCTAGTACTTCTCAGCCAACACTCTTATTTCAATTGTGACATGCTTTGTAATTAAAGAGAAACCATTTAGAGCGGCCTTGTCTGTGTTTCAGAGTATAGAGAACCAGGATTTGAAGTCCATTGTACACGCTCTGTTGACTACTGTAGAAGAACTCTATGACCAGAACGAATTCCATGGGTCTGAGGAGAGATACTTTGAGCTGGTGGAGAGATGTGCTGATCAGAGACCTGTAAGACCTTCTCTCCCATCTCAAGTCAATGCGGCCTACTGTGGTTTTTTTTTTTTTTTTCCCTTTTAAACCTCCTGGAAATGTTTCTCTGTACTATAGTAATGTCTAGAGGCCCCACCCAAAATCTGGGATCCATTTTGGGAGGCATTGCATGAATGTATAGTAAGGAACAGTCCCTGTCCCAAATTGCACAAGACACACACAGGAAACATTCAATATTCCTATTTTACTGATGGGGAGCTGAGGTACAGGGATAGTAAATGATTTGCCCAAAGTCACATAGGAAGTCTGGCAGAGCCAGGAATTGAACCCAGAACTCCAGAGTCCCAATCTGAATGCCTACAAGACCGACCATCCTTCCTCTTATTGCCCACATCAATATTAGATTTTTATCCCATACAACCAAGGGCGGCGGGAGTTATAAAATAGTGCATGTTATAAAGCTACAGTGAAAACTTCACAGCCCCTTGAGACCTGTTCTTGGAAGGAGGGGAAGGGAGATGCATGCACTGTAGGTAAGCACTGGACCATTCTTACATTTTTTTTTTTTTTAAAGGAATCTTCTCTACTAAACTTAATAACGTACAAAGCTCAGTCTATTCACCCTGCCAAGGATGGCTGGATTCATAACCTGAAGGTGTTAATGGAGAGGTTCTTCAGGTAGGAAACGGCAGCTCTAAAAAGAAAAGGTTGTTTCAATGTGTGTGCAGTCTGTTTAATGAACTGTCTGTGTTTAAAACAATCTTACTCTCTGGATCTCTTTAATGGTAGTAATGGCTGCTGAAATATGGGGGCGATTCCAGAATGCAGGATTTGCTTTTTGTCCAATCAACAGAACAGAAATGTCCAACTGAGGCTTCTTTATCATCCTTCTTTTAACAAAGTGGAGGGTGGCCACTGGCTGCTTCACCTCTCTAACTATCCTGTGCTCCATTGCATGATATCTTCCTTGGTATCAGAACTATAACCCTACCTTCTAAATGTCAGGAATGCTTCTGATTTGACAATATCCTGTAGTATGGGGTTCTGCAATGGCAGCTCCCTAGAACATGCTTTCTTATTTTAGAATGATCCCCTCATATCTCCAGAGCTTTTGGCTCCTTTTAAAAAATTAAGATAAAGACCACTTCACCCCTGTGTGTGTGGTTCTAAAGTTGTGGCACAGAGTCTGTCTCCCATTCACACATGCTCTCCCTGGTTGACTCTTAAGTTTTGGAGATGGGTACGGCTGCCCATCTGCTACAACAGGAGCTCTTGTTTTCGTAGACAGCCTCCAGGTTTTTCTTGATGGTAGCACCTTGTCTGCTTGGTGTTGCAACTTCATATGCAGAGAATATTCACTGAAGGTTCACGTGGCCTTTGCTTGTAACGTTTTTAACCCAGAAAAAAGGGAGTTTGTCACAACATGCTCTCTGTCCTCCCCCTAAACTCTTTTGTCCATTTTGGGTTTGTTTTTTCCCTTTTAGGAACGAGTGTCGTAGTGCAGTTCGGATTAAAGTTCTGGATGTCTTGTCTTTTGTCCTGAGCATTAACAGACAGTTTTATGAGGTTTGTACTTTATTGATATTTAGTTGGGGTGTTTGAATTGGAGATCTGGAATGGAGGGTGGAAATGTTTTTCTGATGCTTAATTGTGTGTGTTCGTCAGACCTAGTTTCTGCAATTCTGAAGAGTCAGTCCAATGGTTCTGAGAATGCAGGACACTGTCATTAGGTTTCTCTGCAATGTGACTGGAAGGACTTGCCTGTTAAATGCGGTCCACAGTTGCTTTTTTTAAGTCTGTTGTCAATATGGTGTATGTATAATGGGAGTTGATATTAGCAGGTCTATTTTGACAATGTGCTTTTTTAATTTTCACCTTGTGCATCTTGTGGATACCTTCTTTCCCTGTCCTAAGGTTTCCCAAAGAGGTCGTCAATTCCATTCATTTTACTAAAAAATATATAGTTAGTGTTGGGGGTGGGAGATTTAATCTGGTTTGGGTAAAGATAAAGTTTCGTTTGTACCAAGATGAGGTCAAGATATTATCTGACATGAGTGGATTGACTCGACTCAATGTTTCCGTTTTAATTGAAATCCAAGATGGCAGGCGCTGCGATAGAGCAGAGCCCCGTGAACCCTGCTTGATTTGCTTGTTAACTCAAAGGAATGTCTGCTCAGTGTGTCTGATGCAAGGAAAGTGGGAGAGGCGCTGCTCAGATTCCTCCAACTTCTACTAAACTGGCTGCTGTCTCTGTTTCCTGCCTCTCTGAAAAACAAGGCCTGTGAATCCCATGTGAATGAGGTCTGCTGAAGCTGAGCTACAGAGCCTTTGTCAGATTGATAAAAACCTAAGCTGCTGAGTCCAAGTTCAACAATAGTCTAAATGTTTGGAGAGATGACCTAGAAAGAGATTTAAATAGGCTGGAGGAAGAAATCCAGCAGACTAAACAATTAGGTAATGAAGACTAAAGCTAGTATGACCTCGTGATTCTTGGATCATGGATACACATTTGTGTTAACTCACTAATAAGAGTGAGCTGGGAGACATTTTGCTGAACAGTCTATCCTATTATAGGAGGAGCTGATTAACGTGGTGGTGATCTCACAGCTGGCACATATTCCAGAGGATAAAGACCACCAAGTCCGGAAACTGGCTACTCAGCTATTGGTGGACCTGGCCGAGGGCTGCAACACGCATCACTTTAACAGCTTGCTTGATATCATAGAAAAGGTGAGGCTTCGTTTGCTCAGTAGTGACACTTCCAATAACTTCGTCTCCCTCTCTTAGCCAATCGCTTTACTGGAGACCAAGGAAGGTGAACAGTTAATTATCTATATGATCCAGGGGGGTGTTGTAGGACTCCTGGTTTTTGGAGGAAACCAGAGCTCTATTGGAAAGCAAAAAGGTGCTTTGGAACCAGCTCTGCTAATGCACATCCAAGCTAATCTACAATATTAGGAGACTTTCAGTGGGACCATTTATTTTGTGCCTTTCTGACCTGTTGGCATGGAATTAAGTCGGAGTTTCATTGTGCCCGATGTGGGTTTTAAAGGACATTTCTCCTTTTGTTTTTAAAAGGTGGCTGCACGTTCTCTTTCGGCTCCGGTTGATCTGGAGGAGAGAGACTTTCTATCTCATTCTGCTGCTTTAGAGGATGTGAAGACAGCTGTTCTAGGCCTCCTGGTAATTCTCCAGGTAACACTGTGGAGCGTTTAAAAATCCCTCCCTTAAAACAATGTTCTCTAGGGCTTTGTTTACTGGCCAGTCAATTCCCAATAACAAATTCTTTCTCTTCTGTAACTTCATAGACTAATTCACTTGTCCCACTCTTTAAACTAACAGAATAGGGGATATTTTAGCCATGATTGGGTTAGTTCAGTTCTTGACTGGGTACCTTGCATATGATGTATTAAATATTAAATCTTTATCTACTAATAGCCAGCATGTCATAAATGTAAATGTTTTGGTGATATGTTCCTAGGGTCCAGCTAAAAAGGAGCCAGAACTGGATTCTCAAATCTGAATCTTTTTGAATCCTAACCCCAAAGAAATTCAGATCTCCAGATCCAAACCCACACCTGTGACTTTTTGGATCTAGATTAGATAAAAAATGAGGAGTTCTAATGTGACTGAAATTTCTCAGCAGAAATCTCACTAATTCAGTTGCTACCTTGGGCAAAAACTACACAGATCTCTTGTATTGCCAGACACTCACCATTCAAGATGGTGGAAATTTTACAAGAACAACTTAAGTGACTTTAGCCTGTCAGGATCCAAACACCACTTTCTCAGGCCGTCTCAAAGCCTGCCCTGCCCTTTGTTTATTGATGTTACTAGCAGCGTCAGTGGAGTATAGCGTTATACCTCCAAGCAACGTCTTTATCGGGTCATTCATAAATTAAAGGTCAAATTTGCCACTCGAACAGTTTTCATAGAACTGTCGGTGTCCATAATGCGCACGTGCTGCGCTCTCTTAAAAGCGGGAAGATGGATCTGTTTGGGGATTTTGTGTGTGTGTGATCCCCAGGATCCTCTGAGGCATCATCTGTTCGTGTTGGCCTCAGGAACAGCTCACATTGCCTTTCTTTGATGCCGATTGACCAAAGATGGGCTATTCTGTTAACAAGTAAACCTTCAGGACATCTATTGACTGTTGTTCTGTGCCTCTGTAGACGAAGCTGTACAGCTTGCCTGCCAGCCATGCCACTCGGGTGTATGATATGCTTATTAATCACATCGTGCTCCACTATAAGAACGTGTACCGCCTCCCGATTGCTAGCAGCATCCGATTGCAGGTATGGATAGTCTCTCTCCTAACACTATGATAGAAGGAGGGGCTGAGCTAATGCTTTAGTTGGGTAGCAGATGGGGCGTTTGTAGGAATTTATTACTGTGTACTCTGCAGCATACCTCTGTAGCTGTAGAACAATCAGTGCTGGAGTAAAATGTTAGTTAGCTGTGTTAATAAATTCCATAGCAGTTGAGCTCAGGGAGTGGAAGCCCCTACAGAATCGGCCCCAATGCAGAGCAAATCTTCTTGCGGGCCAGGAACGACAGCAGATTGAGTGGTGAGAAGCGGGGGGAATATTCCATCAGCAGAGGTTTTGAGTCATTCCAGAATGCAGTGAGAAATCTTCTCTCTTGCAGGCATTTGACTTTCTGCTGATGCTTCGAGCGGACTCCCTCCACCGCCTTGGCCTGACCAACAAGGATGGAGCAGTGAGATTTAGCCCCTACTGCCTCTGTGACTTGGTGTATGTTTCTCATTGCATTGTAGTACCTTTGAAATCTTGACATTCTCACGTGTGTATTTAATAGTCTGTCACAGTCTCTATACAACTCTTCTCATCTCCCAAATTCTGATCAGCAGTTATCAGACCACATTCATAGTTATGGCTGGAGGGGGCGGGGTTCCCTCTAGTAAATAACTTCGGAACCAGTCCTGCAAATCCTTGGCATGCAGAGCTCTCAGGAGCCTCAGAGTTCTGTGTACTGGAGCCTTGCGATTTACGTAGCTACTCTGCAAAAGATTACAAATCCCTTGTTTGCAATTTCCTGCCAGGAGACTGAGAAATCTGGTTTTACACTAAGATGCGGTACAGTGATCTGTAGAAATGCTGCTACTTCAAGTTGCACAGCCTAGTCTGGTAGTAACTGACTCTTTAACTTAACCCTCTTAACAGCGAGATCTCTGCAAAGGAACTTGGAGAAGCAGCCTTTGTTGTAGATAATAAAGTGATGCATGCTTCTGACTAGTTGGCTTGGTCACTTCCCTGAAATCTGTTGCTTTGCATATGCATTTCTCATCTTGCTTTCGTATCTGGTTGTGGCTACTGAAACACTGGCCTGGTTTGTATTTCCATGTCGTAGAGAACCAGAGAAGAGGGTGTCTGAGAAAAAGCCTGCTGGGACCCTCTCCCCTCCATCAGGAAGCCCCAGTGTTTCCTCCCAGAATGCCACTCTTCGGATGGGCTACCTGCCCTACTCATTGCTCTTCCGAGTCCTTCTGCAGTGTTTGAAGCAAGTACGTTGATGAACTCAATCTACAGTGGAGTTCTGTGCACACATTTGGAGCTCTAAGTACTGATAAGAAGGACATCAGAAACATGTCTAAAACTCAAGCGTTTGGAATGTTGATGCTGAAATGTTCCAAAATGTCACCTTTTTATCCCCTTTATGCCCAAAAAACTCCCATTGAATTTTTTAAAAATTGATATTTCTTGTGGAAGATCATGACACTCATTACACTAAGAAGCAGGAATAGAGCTTTTAACTCGTCCACTTGTGGTGGCCGATTAAACTGCATATGTAGTGCTGAGCCTAATCTGTTTACTCAAAGAGGGCTTTAAAAATTGTCTGATGGGATGCTTTTTTGCGTCTTTTCTCAACAGTGTAATCTTTGAGACTTACTCACCATTTCACAGTATAGCCAATTAATACACTGTTGTGCTTTATTTTTCTTAAAAGAACATAATCAATTATATTTAAACCTAAAATGTGACCGGCCTGTGTTTTAAAATTATCTAACAATCAATGTTATCCAGGATGCCCAACACCAGCCGAGGGTATCTAAATAGCTTCTAGAAATCCCGAACTTTCCATCCGAAAATTGTTTGTGTGTGATCCTACAACACTTCAGCCACCAGGAGGACCACAAGTAAAACTCTTCCTAAACCAAGCAGACCAACACTGGATTCTGCTTCACAGGAAATAAGGGTGAATTTTTTTTTCCATTTAACAGAGGCCAAAAGCCAGTAGGAAAAATGTCACCCTGCTTCTCAAGGAGGATTTAAAACTAATAATAAAAAAACCCCCAAAATTAGAAGTTCAACTTAAGTTGACACTGTTGACCATTAGATATTTGAGTATGGAAAGGAAATAATGAAGTGCAATAATGTTGGTTCTGGACAGCATCTTTTTCGTTTTTTGGGACCAGGAGTTGTCTTGAATGCTAGAATCACGTTTTTGCTTTGGCAGATGGAGGAAGCATATGTAGAAAAGGCCTGGGTTGGACTCTTTCTGCTTGTTTTCACCATCTATTTGGAGATCAGTCCATTTTATGGCATCAAAATGTCCATGCTACATCTGAGCTAGAGGATGCAGTTGGGTGGAACCCTGGAAGCAACCCATGCATCAAATAAAAGCAGGATCTTTGTTAACTAACAAGGCTGGAGAAACAAGGGATCACAGAAATAAACAACAAATCATTGTTTGACACTGGATGGGCTTTATTTTCAAATTTAACATATAAATCATGCAAAGTTTCCCATGGAAAGTTATTTTCTTCCTTACTAAACTCTCTCCCCTTCTTTCCAGGAGACAGACTGGAAGGTGTTGAAACTGGTTCTCAACAAGTTACCGGAGTCTCTCCGCTACAAAGTGCTATTTTTAACCTCCCCTTGCAACCTTGACCAGCTGTGCTCTGCACTCTGCTCCATGGTAATAACCAGTGTGTCCTCCTGGGGTCTGGACACCACAACTTCACTTCTAATAGAAATGTGTTTGCTTTAAGGCTTCCTTATTTTATACCCTATATTTTTGGGATTAATCTGTCCCTCCTCCCCCTCACCAACAACTTGACCCCTTTCCTTTAGCTTAAAACTTTGGGTTAGGGATAATTAAATTCCTTTAGATATTTAACTGTCCATATGCTTCAATTGCTAAAGAATATAGTTATAAAAGTGTATCCATAAATTGAGTGAGTTTTGAGGACACTTGAGCCTAAACCTAAACAAACTGACCTGCATGTAAGGCTTTGGGGTTCTAGGTATATATTATGGTCTCCTGCAAATCCATTCCCCCACACTAAGGGTACGTCCAGACTACCCGCCGGATCAGCGGGTAGCGATCGATCTATCGGGGATCGATATATCGCGTCTCGTCTAGATGCGATATATCGATCCCCGAACGCACTCCCGTTGACTCCGGAACTCCACCAGGGCGAGCGGCGGTAGCGGAGTCGACGGGAGAGCTGCGGCTGTCGATCCCGTGCCGTGAGGACGGGAGGTAAGTCGAAATAAGATACGTCGACTTCAGCTACGCTATTCCCATAGCTGAAGTTGCGTATCTTACATCAACCTCTCCCCCGCCCCCCCCCCACACACAGTGTAGACCAGCCCTAAAACTCTGGCAAAGTTAGCTAAGGGATTTATTTCATAGTTTTACTGTGAAGATTATGCTCCAAGTACAGCATCCAGATCCTAGTACATATATGATTGAGCTCTGGGACCTGGAAGCTAATATTGTTTCATAATGGAACCCTGTACTGCTCTTGTACTATGAAAATATGCCCCAAAAGACCTGAATTGAAAAGGCACGTGAAACGCAATGTACTCAAGCCCAGTGTGTAATTGATTAGCTTACAGACAAAAAGACAGCTGAGAGGTTGCGTGGCACTCCAGACGGGTTCTCCCGCAATGACTTGCACCTGGCTGTGGTTCCAGTGTTGACTGCATTGATATCTTACCATAATTACCTGGACAAAGCTAAACAGGTACTATCAATGGGATGGGCTGTGGGAGGTGAAATCTGAGTCTGTCTCCAGTGCACTTTCTAATGCCAGCCTGTCTCAGACTTGGAGACTAAATGTACAGTTGCTCTGTAAGCATTTGCACTGGACATATAAAGGGGCAGTTCTGCCAGAAAACAATGTACCCACTGTAAATAAAAGTAACGTAGGATGACTGTAACGGAGAGAAGTTAGTAAAACTCTATTCACATTCTGAGCTTTGTGTATTTAATAGCACTTTGTATAGTCAGTTTTGTTGTTGCCATCCCCTGCGTAGTCATTCGGTTCTTTCTCCCTGTCTGAAAGACCCTGATAACCATCAGAAGGGAGCAGAAAAGCCTTAAACATTTTGTCCCTTTTTATTCTGTCAGAAACTGTCATCTTAAAATTGATTATTTCAAAAAGTTCAGGATGACAAATGTCTCATCTAAGATTTAGAGCCAAGATGTGTCCAGCAGTGCAGAAACACCTGTGACTTTTTTTTTTTCTCTCTTAAGATTGTAGTCTCAAATTGCTAGTGCATTTTTGGTAAAAATTCTTTTAGCTGCTGGCCCTAGCAATGCAATTACCAACACAGAACTAGCATTTTAGTATGTAGAAATGCTAGGGATTTGTTGTAGGCTAGTGGCAGATGGATCCTGGTCTTATTTTATTATACCGAGCATATTCTGTTCTGTTCTTCTAGCGTGAAATGGTTTATTGCCTGGAACATGGCTTAATTTATCGCTGTGCAAACCAGTGCGTTGTGGCTTTATCAGTATGCAGCGTTGAGATGCCTGACATCATCATAAAGGCACTGCCAGTCTTGATAGTCAAGTTAACCCACATTTCTGCTACAGCAAACATGGCAATACCTCTCTTAGAATTTCTTTCAAGTAAGTTGCAGTGGAAATTGTGTTTTACCTATGTTCTTCAGTGGCTGTGAAAAGGCTAAGTGTGTTATTTAGCATGAGTATCATCATCTTGGTTTAGTTTAAGGTCAAATACCAGAAATACAGTGAACCCTAGAACAAGTTGTAACAGTGCTGCAACTGCCATAAAATCTTAACACATAGTCTACTCTTGCTCATGTAACCCAGCTGCTCAACCTAATGCACATGCAGACTGAGAAAAAAGAAACATGCTTTACATATTAAAACATTAGAGAATTGGAAAATCGGAGGTTATCTTTCCCTCCTTATAGCTTACACCTTGCAAAATAATATTTACAGAACGTAATGTAACATTAGCTTTCCTGTTGGTACCAATGGTTTAGAAAACGCTGGACGTTTCAGCTAAATTCTGAGTCAGTAACAAAGTGCTCTCATCCAGACTTCACAAACGATGTTCTTATTGACCTGTTTCAGCGCTAGCCAGGCTGCCTCACCTCTATAGGAACTTTGCAGCTGAGCAGTATGCGAGCGTGTTTGCCATCTCTCTGCCATATACAAATCCCTCCAAGTAAGTTCACCAGTCTTTTTTGTTGTTGTTTTTCTCTCCTTTTCCCCATCTGTAAATTGGGGAAAATGAGACTGACTTACCTTTGTAAAGTGTTTTAAGATCTACAGAGGAAAAATATAGTTGTTTGTGATACCTTTATATATGGGTCTTCTTGCTGAGGGAGGGCCAGATTTAGCTTCAAGACAAATAGTGTGTGTTGCTAATTGCACTCCAAGTTCCTTTTCCCCTTGAACGTACAGTAGTATTCTCTCTCACACCTCTGTAATATTAGAATTGAACTGCATCTCTTCTGAAAATATGTTCAGATTGCCCCACTAAACTCCTGAAATCTTCCCCTGTTCAGGTTTAACCAGTACATCGTGTGCCTAGCACACCATGTGATCGCTATGTGGTTCATCCGCTGTCGCCTGCCCTTCCGGAAAGACTTTGTTCCCTACATTACAAAGGTAACAGCTATGGCTGGATCTTGCAATACAAAGAGTGCTCTGAGAACTGCAATCTGTGGGCATTATTGCTGTCAATTTACAGAGATTCTATTTGACATTAAAATAACTCACCTGTACTTATTAATACATTAGAATTTCAAAATCAAATGTAGCTCTTGAGGATTGGCTCATGGCAAGAGGGCTGCAAATACCAACGGTTTGAACCGTTATCTGTGTGTCCAAATTGGCAGGGCTTGCGGTCAAACGTCCTCCTCTCATTTGATGACACCCCTGAGAAGGACAGTTTCAGGGCTCGCAGTACAAGTCTGAACGAGAGGCCGAAAAGGTAAATTGTATTCCATTCCAGTTGGGGCTATGGGTAGCTCTTCATTAGGAGCTGTTTAAATGCCAAATGCTTTCCTGTGCTTTGTGAAGAGAACTATCTGTGTCCTTAAAGGTGCTGTGTAATCTTTCTGATAACCAGAATGTTCTGTATTAAGACACAGTCTGAGTTGTTGTTGTTAAACCTGAGGTCAGAACGAGCTGGTGGTTAATGGTATGTATTCGTACTAAGACATCACTGGGTGCCCCCATCCACTTCTGCAGAATGTAAGCTTACATTCTAAAAATAATTCTGTCAGCTGAATGTGCATCAACATAGTGCTGGCTGAAAAAAATAGCGAGAGGGGTGCATGCTCTGTTCATCTCAGTGGTTTGTTAATTCTGCATCTTAATGATAGTTTAACAATGGATGCTTAAATTCTTTCATTGCGGATCATTTTAATAGCAATGTGTACAAACTGGAGTCGTTGGGTGGAGTATGGGAGCCACCACTTTATTTTTGCCCAGTCTAAACTCTGGTAGATCCAGAATCTGACCTATTGCTGCCCTATTATTCTGTGAAGAAGAGAGTGCTGGGTCTCTGATCCCTTCTGAAAGGAAAAAAAACCTAGAATGACAAACCAGTCTGCCGTGGAAAGTTTCTATATGGCAGTAGAGTCTAGATTTCAGTTTCATAAGAGGAGAGGCGGTAGTGTCCACTTTTTAAAAACAGGCAACTCACTGTAAAGTATCTTAACCAATTGATCCCACAAGGAAGGAGTGTTTTGAAATCAGTACATCAATACAGGTAGAACCCTGAAGTCCAGTCAAGTAGTCATGTTATTCGAAGCAGCCGTTGATATTTTGAAGTAGCATCTGCAGAGAGGGAAGGGAAGATGTAGTTTGGAAGTCACTCAATGTTTTGCAAAGGTGGCTTATCCACTGGACTCCTCTTTGAGTTGGTTCACTGAACTTGCGTCAGCGTTTCTCTGCAGTGAGGCCATAGTAACGTTTAAATGCTCTGGGGAGAGTGCCTCTCCTTTAATTGCAAAGTATAATAAGGATCTTGTAACAAAGAAACACCATCCTCGCCTTAATGCCATAGCTGTAAACTCTGTCTTGTGTTTGCAAATTAATATTCACTAATCCTTCATCTCCTTGTTTCATTTTTAAAATTTGGAATAGACACCTTTGCCAATCATCTCTCATTTTGCAGTTTGTTAATCTCTTTTTCCCAAAACCTACTTAATTTCATTGGGTTGGAATACTACTAATTCTGAAAGGCTGTTGCCCTTGTTAACATAATCGGATCAGCGTGGCTAGTTCTGCAAAATTCTCTTAGGGGAAGCAAACTATAATTGGATAGTAACGTGGACTCCTCTGCAAACCCTTGTTTATGGAAGAAGTTCCAGTCAGTGATGCTGTTTCTGTGAGTAAGGGTTTTCAGGATCAGGTCCATGGGTCTGACTTCACTGAGGACAAATTAGAAAGCTTGGTTCGTGTCCAATGTCCCAAAGCCTTTTGGGAAAAGAACCTTATTCCTCATGCTTGTAATTACACATAAGAAAGGCAGGAGATCACTTGAAATGAGTGTCTGTATTTGTCTCAATTGAGAGAAACTATTACTGGTTAGTCAAGGCACCTGGGTTCTGTTTCCAGCTTAATCACTGGCTCACTTCAGACGTTGGGCAAGACTCTTAACCTCTCTGCCTCAGTTTCCAGACAGGTAGAACAAAGATACTTGCCTGTCTCAAATGGATATTTGAGGCTTAGTGTATGAAAAGCACTATGATAAAGTCTCTATACAAGTCTTATTTAACGGTGATCATATTGCAGGAGAGCCCCTGGTTAGAGTAACACAATGGGAAGTTGAAACAAGCCCAGCTCTTCAGACTGGAGAAACCTTGATACCAAATCTGAGTGCAAACCTATTTTCTCTTCCTCAGTGCAGTGTAGTATTCCAACTATCATTGACATCAGTTTTTGTTTGTACTAATTTCATTTGTTTGTAGTGTTTGTTAAAATCTTGTTTTCAAAAGTGATTTTTATGCTTTCAACTCTGCCTGGTTTTATGTTTTAATTTTTCCTTTTTGACATTTTTTTGTTTTGTTTTACATCACCCTCTGGGATTCCCCAATATTGACCCTGTGACCTGTGACCTTTCAACCTCCATCCCTACAATGATTTCTTCCCTTCCTGTGACCTGTGCAATTACACCTCTTTCGGGGCTTGGTGCTTCTTCACCTAGTAGTTTAAGAATAGCCAAAAATGCAAGGCAAGGCTTGAATAACTCTCCTCCAGTGAAAGAGCTGAAAGAACCCTCTGCAGTTGATGCCTTCCGATCCCGCAGCATCAGTGTGTCAGAACATGTGGTCCGCAGGTAGTGGCACTTTAAAGGGGGAGAATCCAAGAGCAAATCTGCACTTGGAAACTTTGCTGCAAGGGTGGGTGGGGGCAGGGTGGGCTTGCATGCGGGATGCTTGCATGATCTCTTCAGAAAATAAAAATTGGGTCCTGTCCACAAAATATGCTTTGGAAAAGCTTCATGGAGGTCCTGTGGTTTACCAATGCTGGTTGTGGTGGTGTTACATTGCCCTGTGCTTTGATTCAGTGGTGTTCTATTCACGAAAGCTTCTTTTATTGCGGAGTAAAGATCAAGGATAAAAAGGTTGCATTCTGTGCAAGTTTGAGTCTTTGTTAAACGGCTTTTAAATTACAGCCTTCCAAAGGCAACTTGAAGCATGAATGTCGCAGTTTTCTGCTAGGATTGTGTGCAAACCTTCCCTGCAAGGCAGAGAGAATGGTTCATTTGATTATTGCTGGGAAGAAGGCACAGAGAAGTCTGTTGATATAAAGTAACTCACCATCAATGCATCTCCAGGATATTGTATCTAAGGGACAAAGCCGTGAAGGGCAGGCCTTACAAAATGGTTAATTTTTTCATGACCGAAGAAAATAGTTTGGTCATTGACTCTTGATTTGGCCATATCACATCTTTAAAAATTGTAAATCCTTTTCTCCTGTTTCTGAATTTGTCCCTTGAATATTAAATTGCTGGCTAGGAAATATGATGGCTAGAAGTTTCTTTACCTGAAAATGAATGTTGTTTAGCTACAGGAAATAAGCATCAGACTGTCACTGGAATTGCATTGCAAATATTTTCCCTGTTAGTGATAACATGTTGGGGGTGGGGGGAGAGGCATAGAAGTGACTGGTGAAAATGCATTTGACGCTTCAAAATCTAATGTCCATATTAGTCTACTACAGTATTACATGGTTCTCTTCTATTTATATTTAAATTATAGGTAACAAAACATTTAAATTATTACTATCTAATGATGCCAAAGAAGTTGCTGCGTAATATAAACCCAGCTGAGGTGCAGCAAACGTCTGGGTTCGAGGCATTCCTTCGAACAAGTTCTGTAACGCAGCCGGCTATTGCAATTGTTTCAAAATTGCATTGCTTCAAATACAATTACTTGAAGACAGAATTGCTTTATATCAATGTACTAATTGTGTGCAGAGTGCAATTTTTTTTGCCACTGGTTTAGCTAGATTTTACAGAACTCTGAATTTTAGTTCTGCAATTTAAAATCAATATATGTAACGCTACTGTTTGCCTTGCTATTCTGCACCACATCCCTCCTAAAGCTGACCCTGCTCAAATTGCACAAACGTCAACCATGCTTCCATTTCTTTCTCAAGATGAGCTGTCAGTTCTGGGGTGACATAGCTGTCATCTTCAATGACTGTATAATATCGGTGATTTGAGAATGATTCTGATGTGCCCTGGGTTTGATGCATATGGACGTAGTCAAACCTATTGTGGCATGTGCATGTATTGCGGATTGCTCCGTGGCTTAGTGTTGATCCGATGACACACTGCAAAACAGATACAGTACTAACTTGACACACTCTAAACTCCCTCTCTCAGTAGGATACAGACATCCATCACTAGTTCAAGCCTGGGCTCTGCAGATGAGAATTCGATGGCTCAGGCTGATGACAACTTAAAAAACCTCCACTTGGAACTCACAGAGACCTGTCTGGATATGATGGCCCGATATGTCTTTTCAAATTTCACTGCGGTGCCCAAGAGGTGGGAGTCAGTTACTTGTTCTGGTGTTAGCTATTCTTTGGCCTAAAGGTACGTCTCGCCTCGTCAGCAGGAAATTGCTGGATCCAATGTCAGGTTCTTATGAGCACAGCAAGTCTCATAGGCTTAACCCATCCCCTCTGGCTAAAACCTTCATTGACTTAGCATGAAGTCTGGTGACACAAAACTCCCCTAGCACTGTGGATCAAATCCTGTCAGGACTGCCTCAGCACTGAGCCTTTCCAGAGTAGATATGCTGAAAACCATGTAGTCTTTTTGCATGAAACCTTCAAAAACCACACAGAGCAGAAAGGTTGTTAAAGACACCCAAAGCGCTTTCCCTATGAGCAGAGGTTTGCCTCCAGTACGTGGGCCAAATTTCACCTTCCTCACCTCCCACAATGTAATGCAGTTTGCCAGATGACTACTTTCCTTCCCATCAGAGACTGTGTGTCTGTGTGTGTTGTGTTTGGGGATCCTTCAGGATGAAAGGTGCCACGTGAATTGGAAATACTGAAGTTTTAGTCTAACTTGGTATCCTGGAAGGAGTCATGTAGCAGGGATAAGGCCGGCTGCGCTGTGGTCAGCTGCGTCGAGGCCAGGAATACATTTGCAATGCTGTCTAGAAGCCAGAGAAGTAATGGATACAGGAGGCAGTGCGTCCTTCATCCTGATGGAAAATTTTTATGCTTTACCAGTTTTACCTTGGTGCAGTTTGCAAGAAATGTCGTCATTTAAATGCGGAAAGAGCAGGAATTTTTTCAACCCCAATGCAGAAAATAACTTCCCGGCTGAATCTCGGGTGTTGGGCAACGTCTGTGAGTTGTATTCACTCCAGACTGTATTTCTAGGTCTCCTGTGGGAGAGTTCCTCTTGGCTGGAGGTAGGACGAAGACGTGGCTGGTTGGTAACAAGCTAGTGACTATCACAACGAGTGTTGGAACAGGGACACGGTCACTGTTGGGCCTTGACTCTGGAGAGCTCCAGACCAGTACAGAGTCAAGGTAAACGTCACTCTTATTTTAACATTCTTTTCCCTAATGAAGCCAGTTAAAAACCATTGTGTTAGAACTGATTTGTAAATAGAAGGAATGATCACATTTATTTCAGTCTGGTATGAATTATAACCCACTACGTTACTAGTTATCCTTCTTTCTCCCTGTTCCCCCCACCCCAGTCCAGACCCTGTTTTGCAAGTGAGACAAACTAAAGAAGCTCCAGCAAAGCTGGAATCTCAAGCTGGCCAGCAGGTGTGCAGAGGATCTCGCAACAGAGTCAGGTCAATGTCTGGTAAGCAGTCTCAGCACATTTCTGTCCTTGGAGACTTGCAACCATTGTTGGGCAAGTTTGATCTGTGTGTCCAGTCTCAGACCTAAACTTAGGCCATGTAAAAAGGCCAGAGTGGTCTGATCACAGGACCCAGTACCTAGTAATGAAGAACTAGAATGAGTAGCAGCAATGAATGCTGGCTTCCTGAATGGTTGATTTCTGCCTGCTGGCCTTAGCAGTTGTTTGTATGGTGAAACCTGCAGTAAAGCCATCTCTAGTAGCCAATTCCCCTGGCTTAAGAGACCAATGTATACATCTGCCAGGTTTCCAGCACAATGTACAGTTCATTCATGTGAGCTATAGGGATCAAAGATGCTATCAAAGTGCATAGAACTATTTATTACGTGTTTTCTTGGCACTGAGTCCAGTTATGGGTCTCTAAACTGAGCTCCTGGGTTCCTCCTTTCTTACCCTCCATGGCTTTTGTTTTGCCAGGTGGTCATGCCTTACGTGTTGGTGCTTTAGACAGCTCAGCCCCCCAGGGGTTACGGAGTTCTGCTGCTTCTGCACCTCGAACAGAGAAGGCCACTCCTGGTGCCCACGCTCCTCTGCAGAAAGAAAAAACAAACCTGGCAGCATATGTCCCACTGCTGACACAGGGCTGGGCAGAAGTATTAGTCCGGAGGCCCACAGGTACGCCTTAACCAACTGCACAAAGGGGCTTCTGAGCTGTGGCTTGCTAAGAAATTGGGATTACATAGAAAAAATATCCGTGTCATTAAATGTAAATGGAATTCTTCCATGCTGTTTAACCTCTCCGTTCTTCGTGTTTAATTTGTCAGCCAGGTCTTTGGGAAATCGCACCTTTTAATGATGCAAAGTTGTAAGACGCTCCTGTGAGAAGAGTAAAATCCTTATGTAAACTAAATCCTGCTGCACTGGTGGGCATGGGCATTGTGTTGGCACTCAATTATCTGTTCATTATGGTACTGCCATTTCTGAGTGCCGCTGGTTCCTTCTTCTAAATCTAATTTCCAAAGTGCGAACAAGGCCCATTGCTGGAGTAATAAATAAGTGCACGACTGCTGTGTGTGAAGGAGTAGCAATGGTGTTGAAGGCATGAAGGTTAAAAAACCAGGGCAATCCCAAAATTCCTGGACACCAATACATTCCAAAAGCCACATGGAAGCAAGACTTGCATATTTCAGCTCGAAGTTGTCTTGTGAGAGAATCATTTAAAATTGCTCTATCATTAATTAAAATACTCCAGCAGTTGAAAACCTTTAGGGAGCCGGCTTTGAGCTAAAACGTCAGGGCTAAAGAGTTTTGGGGAGGAGAGAGGCATGCGGCACTGGGGACTGATTCTCATTTAAAATGTGAAATTAACCGAGTCAGCTGCTAACTGTCAAGAAAACCCTAGAACTACTCAGCCTAATTTTTACCAGCAAGTCCCAGGGCCGTTGATGCTGCTGAGTTCTGCTATTTGAACTTTCTGTCTCCGAAAGGAGAGAATATCTAACTTTCCTGACTGTTCCCCTCCGTTCCAGGTAACACAAGCTGGTTAATGAGCCTGGAGAACCCGCTCAGCCCCTTCTCGTCAGATATAAACAACATGCCGCTGCAGGAGCTATCCAACGCGCTCATGGCCGCAGAGCGCTTTAAGGAGCACAGAGAGACGGCTTTGTACAAGTCCCTCTCAGTCCCTTCCTCCAGCTTGGCCACCGGGACGTCCAAACCATCCCTTCTGCAGCGTTCCAATACAGGTGAGAGATTCACGTAGCGTGTCCCAGAGAGCCGGAACTCACTGGTATAAAACGTGGTGAGACTCCAGCAGTCTTCTATCATGAGTTACTGCAGAGGCTGCAAAGCACAAGATGGGGACGGCTCAGCTCTCCTCATGAGCTTAGTATTCAGTGAAAGAAGCCGTTCCTGATCTCCCATGGCACATTAGAAGTGAGGTAATCCCTTTCCTTAAGCACCCCTTAGCTATTTCTTAGTGGTCTCAAGCTAAACGTGTCCTGAGTGAAACTGACCAGAGCCTATTTTTTAGTCGTCTGCTTGTTTTAAGGTTGAGCCAAAGCTTGTCCATGTGTCTGGATGGATCTTCTTCTCCAGCATTCATGTTTTTAATTACCTCTTGCATAGATTTCTCTGTTGGGCAGCGGTTACTAGGATAATGGCCTACTACAAATCCTCCCGCTCGGGAGTCATTGTTGCTCTCTTTCGCAAGGGTCTTCAGGATGATGTGGCAGAGCGCACATCATGTTAATAGCGGGGGTGTTTGCCTCTGCACTGACTTCTGTCTTGAGTCCTGAGTGTTTTATTCATTTGACTTTCTAGCAGTGGGCTTTTTAAACATCCACTTCTCTGCACCAAGGAGGCTTTGGGCATGCTTTACGCTGCGGCTAGCACTGGTACAGCTCCACTGGTGTTAGTAATGTTGGGAGTCCTAATGTCGACTGACCGCTGGCATTTCAAACCTTGTGAGCTAACCCTGTTCAGCGCAAATCTAATAGCCATGCTGCTTCGAACTTTGAGACTGAACCATGTAAGCAGTGGACAAGACTGTCTGGTGGTGTCAGCTGTAGTGCAGGTTGTCTGGGAGCCCAGTAAAAATGTCAATTTCCAGGTTCAGCTTCGCTATTAAGCCTTGCATATGCAGGATCTGATTTTAGTCTTTCAAAACGGGTGCATGCAAAAACCCAGGCAGTTAAAACTGGAGGGCAAAATTGAATGGTGAATTTTTAAAATTTTTTTTTTTTTTCTAACACTCATCTGCTCCAGCAGGCTTTTTAATTTTTATGAACTCCTGCAGATTCTGGTGTCTAGACAAATGCTGCCTGATCAGTTTGGAAAAGCTAAAAGCAGCCAACTTGAGACCCACTTGTTGACTGCCACTGACACCGAGTTTTGAATCTGCGGTGAATTGTTTCAGCCATATTCATGTTCAGCTGATGTCTTACTACAAACTTACCATAATCAATTGGCACAAAGACTTATATGTAAGAAGTGTTGAGGTTGTAATGCCAATGTGTATATTCTTTTTAAAGAGGTTAAATCTCTCTCTGTGGGAACCTTTATCCATATCCTGCTGTTTAAATTCTCCTACATACTTAAATGACCCCTGCAAAGTTTGTGTACTGCAGAAACTGGCTGGCTGGGCTCATTTCTTGCTTGTGTTGGGACTCTAGTAAAGTTGACCCCTCTTGTCGATTTTAAAAAAAACAAATCAGAAACTCCTTTTCTCCCCAAGAACGATTTCTGAGTCTGATTGTTTGAATGTGTTTATGCCTCTTTATTTGTGTCAACGAGACCCTCGACCCTTAAGTTTTCCCTTTTTACATCTAGTGAGACTTTCCCAGCTTGTTCTTTGCTTTTATTTTATTTTTTAAATAGGCTCCTGGTTACATTAAACTCTGTGCTTTTTAATTTTTTCATATAGTCTCTCCTTCCTTTTGATGTAGCTGCTCACTTGATTTCCCTTTGCAGTGGCTTCTTTCTCTTCCATGTACCAGTCCAGTTGTCAAGGAAAGTTGCACAGGAGCATATCCTGGGCAGGTATATATATATCTTTAAGGAAAAAAAAATATTGCCATAGAAGAACACCTCTGATTCATAGAAACTGTCTCCCTCATACCTCATCACCCTGCCATGTTTCCTGTTTGTCCCTGCTGGTCTCATTACCTTCGACGAATGGGATCTTGACTAGCATGAAGAAGTCCAAGCCAGATACGACATTTGCAAGCACGAGTAACTTTAATGCAACCCTTTTTTGGGTGGAGTGAGGTCACAGCTCATGAGACTTAGACTATAGAGTGACATCATAAAAGATCTGTGTTTCCTAACTTTTCAGTTAGATCTTGTAATTGGGTTTGTGTTCTGTTTATTAATTCAGAAGGTTCCCCCTTCTAGGAATAGCTCCTGCAATGCTGCATATACAACTCCACACAAATGAAATCCAGTGCTTCTCATTGCACTGAGCATTCAACCAAAACTGGCCGTGGGAAAAGAATCTGAAAGGAGAAGCTGGTTAGAAAGTCTTAGTTTGAAACTACAGTCTAATTGCTGGTTACAAGTTTTTTTTAAAACAAAAAACAAAATCTGTTTCAAGGAGAAATATATAACAAATTGTAGCTTTCTGTAAATTCAATCGCTGTGTAAAATCTTCCTCTTGCTTTGGGACTATAATCTGTTTCCTAAATATATCAGACCTGTAGATGGTAATCAAAATGGATACCTCTAAGCACAGCAGTTGCATTGCATTTGGCCTGCAATGCTTAATTAGATGAATTAAATCCCACCTTCCTTCAGTGGAAAATTCTATGTGGAATAGCGGGGTTATTCATAACTGGATTACTGTATTGGCACAATGCTATTAAAGTGACACACAGAAGCTGCAATACATTACTCTTCTATGGTCCTCTGCTTTGCTCATATTATCCTACTTCCCCCTACAGTGCAATTACTGAACATTCAAATTAATTAAAAACACCAGCGAAATTGGCAGTAATATTAGAACTAGGGAAGTGAAAACCACAGAGTATGTGCAGGTGTGTTCTGGCTTGGACAGCTAACCAGATCAGCACGTTTTTTAGAAGGTATGTGTGTGCAGTGCTAACTCTTAATTGCTTCTTGAAATAACTGGTCCTGCGAGCTGAAATCAATCCAGGAAAAACTGCTTTAGTGCCTTTTTTTTGCTGATCTTTTTTGTGTGTGTGTGTGCTAAAGTTTTTTTTTTTTTTAATTTTACTTTGGAAAACAAATCTTAGCCTTTCAGATTGGTCTTCCAATTCTGTGTGTACGTAATGGGAAGCCTCCTGTACTTCAGCCTTTTCCTCAGGACAAAAAAACCAAGGCAAACAGAAGTCATCAGTCAAATGCATTCCTGTGTTCAGGGTTACTGTGTATAGTAGACACTTGGTTACCCCTTCCACTAACCTCTCCGCCATACACAGCGCTTACACGGAGCTTTCTTTCAGTCTGGTCTATATAATTCGCTATTTGTCTGATTGGAAACCACATGCAGACTTTTCCAATATTGCTGCAATACATGCATTAATGATGTCCTCCTGTCCTTTAATAAGGCATAGGCTAACCTGTGTAGCTTCTACTGAAGCATACTGAGAAAACTGTCAAAATGCAAGTAAATGGCTTCTAGTAAATTTTCTTGTCTCCCCCTCCATATAAGGCACGAGAGCATTTGTTATATACAAGAATGAATACAAGGCTTATTCTTTTCCACAATTGCATAGAACTTATGTTTTCGTTGCCTGTTTAATAACAAACTTTAATGCTAGTCTTGCACTTCCTTACATCTCTCTAGTTACTGTCTGTCCTGATACTTGAGTATTAATATGCGCAAGGATCCATTTTTTCCATTATCTTTCTATTACTTGTCCATTAGTAACAGTTTGGCACCACTGCGTTTAGTGTGACAAAGCAGTTCTACAACCCTTTGGTCTGAGGGTAAGTCGACCAATTATTGGGGAGGGGAGACCTCTAGCAAGTCTGGTGTGCCATTAAAGTCCTCACTTTGTGATCAAAGAGATATGATATATCACACATTGAATATGGCCTTCCACTAAAATCCTAGTAGGGAAAAGGCTGGTACTTCAGAGGAAAGGATGGGGTCCCATCGTGCCACTCCTCTCTACACGCCTCAGTTACTCTGTTTGTGTCTTGGTAGAATCGGCAGTAGTTCTGGAAGAGGGGAGCCCATTGGAAGTGGATTTAAAAGAAACCGATTCCCTGGTGTCTCAAGAGTTTGAAGACTTTAAGGCTGTGTGCTCTGAGCAAGCCATGGCTGAGGAGAAATTCAGCAAACCGCACAAGGCTTACAGCAGGGTAAGGCTGTCACGCAGCTGGCTGAATACCAGTCTAATAACTTTTCTGTCCCAAGCCAGAGAAGGGGCTTTAATATACACTGCAGATTTGTATGTGTTCTCCATTTGCACTTTTTATTGTTTTAACTATAGCAAAAGACTTTGAACTTGGGTAGATTGCACGTGCAGTTAGGATTGTGTGCTCAGATGGTCAATCTAAGGCCTTGCTGGCCATTTGCACACACAGAAGAAATGGTAACTGCATGCGTATGGGCTCAGGGCTTAGACTTCTGTCCTTCTGGTAGTTAGGCCATCTCTGCCTATATTGAAGCAGCAATACTTTAGTATCATGTATTTAGTGGTGGCGATATTCTTCCTGTCCACTGGTGTCTTTTCCGTGCATGTTCTCTTGTGGGTTTTGTCAAGGTGCTACTCAGAAAAACAGCTTTTCTTTGACTTTTTCTTTAAGTCCTCTTCAACATCTAGTCAAGAAGAGAAATCTCTGAAATCCGACGAAGTGGTGGCCGGCGGAATTCCTATCGGCAGAGTTGTCCCTTCAGAGGATGGCAGGACTCTGGAAGAACTCTCCTTCCAGCCTTCCCAACCACTCAGCAAATCTAGCTCTTCCCCTGAGCTTCAGACGCTGCAGGAAGTCCTCAAAGACACAAACACTAAAGAAGCAACTGGAAGGCTGAGCACGGAACTGAAATCGAAATCTCAGTCTGGGAACCTTGAAGGAGAAGGGGCCAGTAGCTGGCTGAGCCAAGGGGATGACGCTGGAATAACTGGCACAGCCAGACTGGATTGTAGCGTCCCTTCTTCCTCTCCCCGCTCACCCAGCGGCCACCGTCCTAGAGGGTACACCATCTCGGATTCAGCCCCTTCGAGGAGAGGCAAAAGGGTAGAGAGAGATGCCTTCAAGAGCAGGACAGCAGCCTCCAATGCCGAGAAAGTACCTGGAATAAACCCAAGGTGGGTAGGTAGTTGCGGGAGGTGCCTAAAAAGGGCTTATGGTGTTTCCAGATGTAAACTTCATTTTAACTCATGTCTCAGAACTAAGATTTTTAGAGGTTTAGCTAAACTTGTTTAAATCCAACACACAAAAGGTTTTCTGGATCTTACAAAACCTAAAACTGAACAGCCAGGAGGTGTAACTTTCTATAATTTAATCCGTGTTTTAGTACCTGTAACCTGAATTTTGGGCAAAAAGAAATGTGGCAAACATCTCAACTTCTAAACTTTTTGTTGTTGTTGCTAAAAACAATTAATTTGGATTAACATTCCTCCCCATTTGGAATCAAAACACACACGTGCAATTTGAAGGCAGGAGAGCTAGAAAGCAAATTAACTATAAACCGGTGAACCAGAGCAGTTTCTCTGTCTGAGATGAATGAAATGCAAAATGGTAAGCAGCATGAACAGTGGGGGGAAAAGTAAATTAGATTGGTTGTTTGAGCCTAGTGGTATCCCAGAGCACTAATTTGAAGATTTTTACCTTGCTGGTGGTATATTAATTTGTGAATTATTCAGAGGAGTCGAGAGCCGAAGAGAATTCGTTAATCTTCTAAGTCTGAAATAAAACAATGGCCATGAGACAGGATTTGAGTTCCACTCCTTTGTCTGTCATAAAGATCCAGTGCACTTCCTGGCGTAGGGAAGCCATGCTGCTGCCCCTGTTGAGCTCTTTGATTTTATGGTACAGTAGGTGCATGTACAGAAACTGTAGATGGAGCAAATACCTGCCGTGCCGTCAATGGAGGGATTCTGCTCTGTGAGCAGCTAATCTCCGAGCTCTCCTAAAGCGCGGTTGTATGCCACAGATTGACGTGGGCTTTCCTGTAGGGTAACAGGATTTAATTTCTCTTCTTAGCTTTGTGTTTTTACAGTTATACCACTCCCCGTTCTTTGGAGATGAATCCAACAAGCCCCTTTTGTTGCCAAATGAGGTAGGCAATGATTTTAAGCATGAACACTTGGAATGACTGCTGTAATCCCACTTGCTGTTAAAAAGCTACATAGATACTAATTAACAAATCAAGAGGCTGGATGGTGGCAGTTATGGGTTGTTCCTTAATGGCCTGGCTGCTGGAGATGTAAAATCTTGGCTATCCCCGATGAACTGATGACCCTTGTTTGTAATTATGGATTGTGATTTCCCTCCCCTCTCTGTTTCTCACAATGCTGATGTACTGCTATGATGAGATGGCTCAGTTCCCACTCCTAGAGCCAACAGCGACCAATTAGCTTGCCAAGCAGTACATTTGCTCTCCACGGGCAGGGTTTTTGCCCCCATAGTACTAGCTTCCAAACAAGTAGGTGTGTTGTTGCTTTGGTGGGAACCGCACTGGGTGAAATTGGGCAGTGTGTGTTGGAGAAGGTGGCTAAAACATTGGTGGGGACCAATATGACAGACTGGGAGTGGCCAAGGGGAGTTATCCATCGCAGAAATAGACCAGAATAAAACCAGTGTTCGGTGGGGAAGTACAGCGCTGTAGAGATGGCACAAAGCGTAGAGAACCTACTGGTAAAATACGAGTTCGGGTTGTCATTTCCTCGGTCCAAGTAGCAAACCAGCTGGGAGATGCACAAATAATGGGTGAGCTAAAGTACTGTTCTGTGTGACAGTATCCAAGAAAGGTGTTTTCTAGAGCTGACCCTGCAGTGAGTTCTTTGTGCTTAGAGGTAAGAAGTTGTCATGGCTGGTGCTTCAAATACATTCAGTTGTCAGGAGATTAAATTACTATGAAACAGAAAAAACAGAAAAAGGAATAATACACCCTATTAAACACTTCTTTATTTGTATCAGTAGGAAGCTAATATTATATGTGCCTTTCTGTGCTAAATACCTTAATGAAGTTTATCAAGGAATAATTGTGTGACGATCAGGAGTCTCTTACTACATATGCCCTCAAGGTCTATGGGGGGGCTGCTTATCAGTGCCATTCAAAGAAATGTTGTAATTCACAGTGGCCGTGTTTTAATTGTAGACATTTGAAAGCTCGGTGCAGCTCCTAGATCAAATTCCTTCCTATGACACCCACAAGATTGCCGTGCTCTATGTAGGAGAAGGACAGGTGAGTTCTTACACATACACTAGAGGCCAAGCAGCTTCACTTGAACTGCAGTCATTTCTACCCATTTTCAAGTAGCTTCTTTTTGTGTTGTGGCTTCCCAGTTTATACAGAGAGTGCCCAAGCGATTGCAAAATGCCTTGAGGCCTGAGGTTTCACCTTAGTACTTGTTCATAGTGCTGTACAAGCCCCGACTGTGCAACTTTACAGCAACTGGGCTTATATTTCACTTAGTCCACTGTATCTTTTGCTAATCTCATTTCCGAGTGACTCTTCGTGACATTGGCTTTTCTTCCACGTGGCCAGCTCTAGAAGCTTTTCAGACTTTTAAGCAAATATTCTGCTAGCCCAGCCCAGACTCGGTGAACACTTTTGTCACCCGCCTGTACGGAGTCTGCCCTTGTGCTCTGCTTGCCAGTCGCGGAGTCGGTTCACAGAACTTGTAAGGAAGTGAATACGTTTTAACAGTCAAAAGGTGCGAGGAGGTACTTGAAACTCCTATATGAGACACTCCATTTTTTCTCCTAGAGCAACAATGAGATCGCTATTCTGTCGAATGAACATGGCTCCTATAGATATACGGAGTTTCTGACTGGCTTAGGGAAGCTCATTGAACTCAAAGATTGCCAGCCTGATAAAATTTACCTTGGTGGTCTGGACGTGTGTGGGGAGGATGGTCAGTTTACCTACTGCTGGCACGATGACATTATGCAAGGTAGGGCATCCCAAGTAAAGGGTTACACTTCTTGGGGGACAGGAATGATGCCTTAATGCACAAGTCAGAGGGTCTGTACACCGTTAAACTTTACCGTGTGGTGCCAAATTGCTTCTGTGTTCGGGGTGTGGTAAAGAGAGGGATTTCCTACCAGCTTCCTGAGGCTGCCTGGGCTCCCTTTCCATGTTGTTTAATATGTTTAATCTTCTGCACTGATGATTTGGGAGAGGTTGACACACACATTTATATTAGGCAAAAAAATCTCACATTTTACTCTGAACATACAGACCGTATGAGACATGGTTTTATGTCTGTCCTTGTGGCAAATCAGTCTTGTTTCATGGACCACTGGATTACCAGAAACCAGATGACGTATTATAGCAGCTGCACACATGGAAACTGTGCCAATGTTTCTTTAGAGAACGGTATTTAAAGCTGGGTGCTGTTGTCAATGTTAATCTCGTAACTGGGTGTTAACGCAGCAGCATCACACAATCGGCAGTGAAAAGAAATACATTTAAAAGTCTAAGGTACTTAATTCTTTCTGTACAAGGCAGATTCTCCTCATCTATGCTGCTGTGGCCCTACAGAAATTGCTGTAAGGGACTTTTTCCTTAAATCTCTCATGTATATTGGGATAAGTGTGCTAATAAATGTAGGGTAACAGGGAATGCATCTGAGAAGACTAACTCTTGCAGGCCGGATCGGCCATTTTGGCCCTGATATAACTGGGAGCAGACTAAGGGCTGCCAGTTTCAGAAGTCCCATAGGGTCTTCTCCATGGCCTGAGAATTGGCTGCAGCGTTGTGCACTCTGACATGTCCCCAGTGCAGTGCAAAGCATAGGATGGGGTCTGAGGAGCTGGCCGACAGTGTTCAGCTCTTACAAAGCAGCACAGATTTGTCAAAGCAGCACAGCGTGAAAGTTCAGCTGTCAGTTTGACTTTCAGACAAATGCCGTGTACAGAACATTATCGCAATAGGATCCTAGGTATCCTATCAATCTGTCCCAGCATCACCTGCAGTAAAGTTATTAGTTGCATCTCCTATTTTCTATCCCAGCTTGGTTTTGTTTGATTGATTTTTTCCCCCCCCCCCCCTTCCCCTAGCCATTTTTCACATTGCGACTTTGATGCCCACGAAGGATTTGGATAAATATCGCTGCGACAAGAAGAGGCACCTTGGGAATGACTTTGTTTCCATAGTTTATAACGATTCTGGTGAAGACTTTAAATTGGGAACGATAAAGGTACAAGAGTTTATACTTGGGTCTGCGTATAAATAGGGCCCTACCAAATTCACGGTCCATTTTGGTCAATTTCACGGTCGTAGGATTTTTAAAATCATACTTTGCATGATTTCAGCTAGTTAAATCCACTCTGAAGGCAGTGCAGAAGTAAGGGTGGCAATACCATGACCCCCCTAAAATAACTTTGTGACCCCCCTGCAACTCCCTTTTGGGTCAGGACCCCCTATTTGAGAAACGTTGGTCTCCCCCATGAAATCTGTATAGTATAGGGTAAAAGCACACCAAAGACCAGATTTCATGGTCTGTGACGCGTTTTTCATGGCCGTGAATTTGGTAGGGCTGCCCTACTTATTAAACATCTGTTGGACTGATGCAGCTCACTGGAAAGCGTCCAAAGATGAACAGGACTTTCCACTTGCATGGCAGCAATGGGTTCTTTGTAAAATTGTTAATCTCTGTGTGTGTTGTCGAAAGCTGTGACGCCAATTCAGATATTTCTTTGGGTGGGGGCAAATTCCAGTCCTGGTCTCTCCCCCACCCCCTCCCCCTGCAGGGACCCTGATTCTCCTTCAGCCAGGGAGTCTCCCCTCTCTGTTACCCACACAGTGCATGAGCCAGTGCCGCCAGGAGCCGAGTTCTGGGCAGACTCGCCTGCACTCTGCCGTACAGGAATAGACAACCCATGCACCAGGTCGCAACCCCACTCACTGAAAATTGGCTCTGCCTGCATGGAGGGGCATCCAGGTCATAGTTCAGTGGCATTGCAACCACGCAGCCAAGCGACACTCCAGACCACTCCGCCAACAGCTGTACTGATTAGTACAGGACCTCTGCTTAAAAGTGGTCGGATCCTGCCCTGCACGGCTCCATGGCCTGTGGAACTTTAGCGACTGCAAATACCTGGGGTGGTATCCCAGCCTCCTAACTGGCACCGCTGGTCTAAAGACTATTTGGTTATGAATTGGGACTTTTTACCTTGCTGTATTCAGACTGCATCAGTGGATTGCATCTGTAGATGTCATAATGGTTGCCAGTAAAATATGCCTGTAAGTGTGTGTTATGCTTCTGTGTTACAATATTTTGTTTCCTCCCTAGGGCCAATTCAACTTTGTGCATGTTATAATCACACCGCTTGACTATGACTGCAACCTGGTCACGTTACAATGTCGGAAAGGTAGGGTTAGTTCTCGAACAATGTTTCTACTGGTTCGCACGACAACTTCCTTAACTTCATTGGAATGTTTGTACAAGTCTCCAGGTGGTAAAACTTTAGAATCGTAGAAATGTAGGACTGGAAGAGACCTCAATATAGGTCATTTAGTCCAGTCCCCCGCCCTGAGGCAGGACTAAGTATTCAGAGCCAATCCCCTCCTGTAACCGCACATCCCATATTGCCATTTTACCTGGCTTAGGTAGACCCTTCCTGAACTGTGATTTGTACTCCCAATAAAAGCTTTCCAGCTCCCTTTAGAGGAGCCCATTAAGAGAAATGCTCCAAAATTGTGTCACCACCTGGTATTGGGGGATGCAGCCAATCAGTAATTCTTCCCCACTGGACCATAAGACAGCTATCTTCTAGTTAGGGGGATGCATGGAGTCCCAGCCGGTGACCAGAACGCCCCCATTTTGGCTTCTGCTCTGCACACCGATATAGTGACACATTTTTTTGGCAGGTTGGAGGAAGAAATCCTGGTGGCTAGTCCCCCTCCAACTTCCTTCCCCGCAGTGCAGTGAGCGGCCCTTGAGAGTCGGACATGGCTCCTCCTGGCTCTTTGGAACATCAGTTGGAGGGGGGGTTGCAACTGTTTCAGGGCGTACTCCCTCGTTTAGGGCTGTGGGGGGGACCTTTGCAGCCTTACCAGATCCCACATTGATCCCCAGCATGTATCACCAAGGGGCCAACCATACACCCCACGCCCCACCCACAATGCACGTCTCTAATGAAACCCCTTCCAGTCTGAGAAACATAGCTATGAATAGTCTGCCCCTGCCTCTGTGTTTTGGGGGAATCATGGATTGTGACTAGGGTTCCTGGGAAAGGCCTTCTCTGTGGAGCAGTCAGAGCTCGGGAGCCCCCAGAGTATTGCACCCTTGTGCCCTGAGCAGTGTTACAATAGACGCTATAATACTTTATGGAGACCTTTTTTTCGAGGCAGACGATTGGAGAGTAAAATGTACTCTGATTTCTCACTACCTTGACTCTCATGCTGGAAATCCTCATGAAGTTGAATTTATCACATCCCAGTACGTATAATTACTGGCTAATTCTGGCTTTTCACCTTTTAAAGTGACGATCTTTAAATCTTTTCCATTTGAACATACAGACATGGAAGGGCTGGTGGACACAAGTGTTGCTAAGATTGTCTCGGATAAGAATCTGCCGTTTGTAGCCCGCCAGATGGCCCTGCATGCTAATGTGAGTACTGTCTGGGTTCTCTTCAAGGACTGTTACCTTTCTGCTAGGATCACGCTCTGCCACCCCAGGGAAATTAATGCAACTTGGCCAAGAAATTAAACTCTCAGAGCTCTATCCGTTGAATAACCAGTCGAGTCAGAAGCATCTGAACTTCACAGACTGAGTTGAAGTTCAACGACTAAACTAATTATGTTGTGTAAACAATTTATTACTCTTGTTGTCATGGGAGCTGTGTTTAAAACTTCTTTTCCCTTGAATCAGATGGCTTCCCAGGTTCACCATAGCAGATCGAATCCTACAGATACTTACCCATCAAAATGGATAGCGAGGCTACGTCATATTAAGAGGCTCAGGCACCGGGTAATTCAAGTTTGTTTTTCCTTCCCTGACATATTGCACATCTGGAACGCTTAGCACAAGCAAGCACAATTATAAATATCTGGAGAAAATAAGAATGAACTGTCAAAGGCCTGTGAATAAGTTAAAGGGATGTCTGCCTTGAAAGCTTCAGGCCTTGTTTACGCTACAGGGAAAAGTCGATCTAAGCTACGCAATTTGAGTTGCGTGAATAGCGTAACTCAAGTCGACAGAGCTTAGATCTACTTACCGCTGGGTCCACACTACGCGATATCGACGGGAGACGCTCTCCCATCGACTCCCCTTACTCTTCTCGATCCGGTGGAGTTCAGGAGTCGACGGAAGAGCGATCTGCGGTCGATGTAGCAGGTCTTCCCTAGGTTCGTTAAATTGACCACCGGTGCATCGATTGCCACGCGTAAGTGTAGACAAGCCCTCAGACTAACCAGACTCTAGTGAGAATAGGGTTTGAAGCTACAGGCAGCTAAAGAGCCCTCCATTTCCATTGGCTACAGTGGGAGTTGAGGACACCAGGTCCTGCAGGGTTGTGCGTGTGATGCAGGGTTCAGATCCAAGTGGCAATAGGGGGAGCTGTACCTACTAACATGCCGAGGGGGAATTGTGGGGATATCCTGCTGACCTGTTCCTCTGACGCTCTTTCAGATCCGAGAGGAAACCCAGTACCAGACACCTGGCTTCCCCCTGATGCAAATGCACCCTTCTGCTCTTACTAAACCCCCTCCCCAGGTACCACAGGACCCAGCATCAACCTATGAAACTGGGCAGAGAAAGAGGCTGATCTCCTCGGTGGATGACTTCACAGAATTTGTGTAAATCCCCATGTGATCAGCGTCTGCCCTCGGGCATGCGGCGGAGGGGGGAAGAGAGGAGTGAACGCTCTTGACCCTGCACACTAATTCAGCACTGCCACAGGGAGACCACTGGGACTTGGCAAACTCGGTGTGGCTATGTTACCTTCGTGTGAACTAGTTACTGGACCGCCGTGTGACTCTGATAGACATCGTCGTCTTGACTTTGAGTCACCCACCATCAGGAAAGGAGGATTTTCTACCCTAGCTGGAGAATCCCAGAGTGGACCGAGCCTATAAATTTGGTCTTTATTTGGCTAGAGACATGAAGTGAAGTTTAAGGGTATCCATCTCTGCTAGCAGCTTTCTTGCAAAATTTAAGCATTTCTCTAAGCAGGAGGAGGCAAAGCAGCAAGCCAGGATATGGTTCCCCACTCATCACTTGGTGGGACGATGCAGAAGCAAATGGTGTTTTAACCCAACCAAATGAAAGCTTCAGTCACAGTCTCTGGACACTTGGGATCTCCATTTCCTCTACATGGGTGGAAAAGCTCTATTAGCATTCATGAGAGCTGCATGCACTTTCCAACTAGTTCTTAACACCAGCTCTAATTATAGGAATGTCCACTAGCTTCACAAGTTACCTGTAAAAACTGCAGCTGCCTTTATTTCCCAGGAGATCTCCTCGCTTGAGGACATCTCCATGAGTCTCCCACTCCAGTGAAATTGTTCTCTCAGACCTTAATGATATAAGTAGGGAGATGTCTGCAGGTCAGTGGAGAGGCAGAATGGTAATCAAAGCTGGTATGGAAATCGCTGCCCATGAATAAACTGTCTTGTAATGAACACTCCGTTAAACCCAGGATTCCAAAGACAATTTGGGCCAGTTTTGGAAATTATGAGCAAAGGATTTAGCTAGAGGCCTTGCCTTGCTTCTAGTGCAGTCAATGGCTAAGCTTCCATTGACTCCAAGGGCAGCAGGATGGTCCCCAAGAATGTGGCCAGGATGCTGGGAAGTAACTTGACCCGTTTGTGCGTATTCACACGCTCTTCAGAGAGGTGAGTGGTAGCCCAGTGTGTGACCAGGCTGCACTTGACTGGCCTATAATGTGGCCTTGCCAGAAATCTTTCCTCAAATGCAAAATTTCCTCTTCCCTTTTAAACGACCCTTGGCTCTGGTTGGCGGCAGCATCGCCATATTGGACTTGTCATATGGTGACGGTCCCACCTTTGGAAGCCAGCAGTTTGGATTGTATGTAAAGGGTCCTTTTAATGCAGATGTGCGCCAGGCCTTTCAGAAGTAGCATGTCTTGTGGTGACAGATAATGGGACACTACACTACCATAATGGGAGAAGCTATGTAAGCTGGAACGTACTGTGACTACTTTACTGTGTGCTTTTGTCACTCCTCAGTGGCTGCTGTCCTCATCAAAACGAGGGACGAGCTCTTAATTCGCTAAACTCAGTGACTGGGTAACAGCAGGTTTTAGTGACTGGGTAACTTCTGAGTAATTTGAATGGAATCGCAGGCAAGCAATCAAAAGCCGGAATTCTTTTTGGAGGGAGGGAAAGGGGAGCTACTGACCAATGTGGGACTGTCCATTAACTCATGTGTACGTCCTGTTTTGAGTGTTTATACATTGTAAATGAAATAAAAGTATTTGTATGGTTACTGGGTTCTTACTGGGATGGGCAATCTCTTGTGTTGCGTGTTGAAACCACTCCAGATGAATCGGCTCCGTCATTTGACAATCAGACCATTTCCATCTGACCTGTGAAAGGTGTCTGGTACCAGAGCCGCATTTGTCCAAAGAACAGGTACAGGATGGGCGGCGGCAGCAGGACAAACTCCCGCACTACCTTGCCAGTTCGCCTCAACCCTGATTGGGAGGGATCGCTAGGCATAAGCATAGATTAGTTCTCTTGGCCTCTCAAGACTGGCTTTAAGGAGGCCAGTGGTGAAGTGTAGACTCGTGTCTGAGCAGCACTGGACTGAAAACCTGTGGACTCCGTTCCCAGAAGCACCACTTTGTAAAGTTTTTGGTGCTGCTACCTGGGGCTGGATTTGAAACAGTGACGCGGAAGTAAGATGCTGACTCCCCTTCTATGAATTTTTCAGATGTTAAAATACATAATGGTATGTAACCACTTGCTGAAGTTGCAGGAATGCTGGTGTTTCCCAGTGACATACATGGAGCCACATGTGACCTATGTTGAGTCCATGCGCCAGATACATGTTCAGCCACAAGCAAGCAGCTGTGAGTCTCTTTTACACAGAGCAAATTCTGAATTTGTTTTGAAGCAGAACATCTATCAAAGATCTCAAAGCTCCTTAATGAAGCAACATGGATTAATTACCCCGCTACCAATTTGTTACCAATAATCGAAACCAGGTATTTTTCACGGGTTTGAATTTCCTCAGTATTTGAAGTTGCCGAGTTGGACTAGCTCCGAAGCGAATGGCTTTCAGACCTTTCTGTCGTACTGCAGCACAGCACCTCCTAGATGCACGCTTCCGACAGTGGTGCACATGGATTGCTAAGAGGCAAAGAGGATGTCGTGGCAGCTTCCAACAAAAGCAACAAAAGCGTAGCAGACATTTACTTAGCAGTCATGGTCTTTATTTGACATTGTCATTTTGAAGAAACATTCCCACCGTTACAAAATAGGCTATTTTTGCCAATGTAACGTTGACCAGAAGGCACTGTTTCCTTCCATCCTTCCTTTCCTGATCATCCATTGCTACAAAAAGCATTATATAGATTTCCCACCCCCCAGCCCCCACCCCTTAACTAGCTGATAGGGTTCTGTATTAAGCAGCTTGATACTATTGCATCATTGTGAGACTTAAGGCAATAAATAAGAAACCATCTCTTGGTGACTATAAACACAAAATATACATTCAAGAGTATTTATTAGTTAGGGATGCAAGTCAAACGTATTGCTGTTGACAAGGAGTATAATCTCATGACTAATAGTTCTGGCTGCAGCTCAGCTCAGATTTCATATACTTGCTACCTTCACTGTGACACTTCAAGGAACCTCATGCTTGTGGCTAAAGGCTCTGTACAAACAAGGTCTCCTGTGAGAACTATGATCGCTTTAAAGCTGTATGACTGAAGTGTCCGGCTTTTCTGAAACACCTGCGTGGGCTCTAGAGCTGCTCCACCGACTGGGATCCAAGGAAAGTAGTAGGGCAGTTGTCCTAACCCATCTTTGCTCTTCTACAGTTAGAAGAAGCACTTGGTAAGACTCATTCACACCACCATACACACGCGCACACAGCTAGCTGGATAAGAAACTCATTCACGTTAAGGCCTAACTTAAGAAAAACCTGGCTCTTCACATTGGGAGCATCCTAACTTTAACCTTTACTGCCACCTACGAGCTTACTAAAGGCCGTGCCAACCGTTTTGGCTTTCAGTTTGCTATCATCTCTTAACTTTATCGTCCCTGTGCTAACTGTGTTCAATGAACTTCCTCTAACAGAGCCTATTCAAGGCTTTTGTGGGAGAGGGGCGTCTAAATACACTCTATTGTAGCCAAACTAAAGCTGACAACAAATGCCTCATTTTTGCCCTTTAGCTCTTCAAGGTTCTATTAGACTTTCAAAGCCCCTGGCAATTAACTGATACATTCAGCCTTAGTACCTAGTCCCTGCAGATACCATTTAGCTCTTGGAAAAATTACAGTTGGTTGAGAGGCCACTCATCTCAGATAGATGGTAACCATCCTCCAATACTATGTTTTTAACGGTTGTCATGTCTACAGCCTGTCCTCTAGACCACGAGTTTAGTGGAGCTGTAACCGTGGAGTCTTTGGCTGGCCAGCTAATTCTGTTCCCTGCATAGGGGTCAGACTCCTAATCGGAACGACTAGAGCAATGCTATCTAGTTTAGTGGGCAATTGTTTTCATCCATGTGGGAAGCGGTTGTTAGCAGTCTTGGTGTCATATGAGCATGGGTATTTATAATCAGGGAGGATCATCTTATTGTGTTCTCATCTGGCCTGACCTCGGTTGGTGGTCTGTGGTCTGCACTCATAAACATTTCTTGCAACGTGGGAGGGAGATCCTGTGGTAATTTTTTTTTTTCCTAAGCTGCACTCCAAGCCCTCCGTCCTCCAGGTGCTATCTTCCCAAATGGAAAAGAGGGAAGCGAATTGGTTTGTTCAGCTGGCAGAGCACACTGACAGATAGGAAGTGCTAGTGGCCATGGGAATGCTGGGGTGAAACAAACTTGGTGAAGGTCTCATGTTCACTGCAGCATTGGGCAGGGGGAGGTGTCTGTCTTCATTGTAGAAAAGACCCAAGTGTGGAAAAAAGTTCCTAGAGCTAGGGTAGGAAGGATATTCGAAGAGTGAAATTCCCACTAATATAGAACTAGACCTTCCCTTACGTGAAATACCTTATGTAAGGATCCTAGAGGCACTTGTCTGTCTTGTGCTGGCTTCCTCCCCCATCTGAACATGGTGCTAATTCCCTTATTTGTTAACAATCGACACTCATCATCTGATTTCTAGAACCATTTCTCCTCTTGAGGCTAACCTTCCCCAGATCTAGACACTTCTTACATTAGAAGGTGCGCTGTATGTAGAAAATGGAATTTAATCACAAAGAATCAGTTCTGAAATGCCCTATTAGCCCATTACCACTTGTTCTAAAGAAAGCTATAGCAGGCATGTTGGAATGTTTGTTCATTTTAAAAGGCAGCGGCTACTTGAAAATCCTTCCTTAATACAGTAATACTGGTAGAAGTTTGCCTTTACCTCCAGTCCTTCCCCACTACTTACGTCTCAAACCTTTCCTCCAAGAACCTCCAAGACTTCCTTGAAAGAGTCATCAATTAAAGGCAGAAGAGGGACCATTAGACGAGGCTGACCTGCGTAACACAGGCCAGAGGATTTCATCCAGTTACCTCTGTACTGAGCCCCCCTCCCCCTCCTTGCAGTGAGGTGAATGAGCAATGCCTATGGTACAGCTAGGGAAAAGGACCCCTGGGAATTGTGACTTTGCGCAAGGTCACACAGCACATATTGTAGGCCTAGAAAGGCTGAGTCCTGGTTACTGTCAGTTAAATCCCACACCCCTTCCCTTCTCATTTGATTGAGGAGCCTGTCTGCTTCATTTTTTTCCAATCATGGGGAAAATCAAGTGAGTTGCTCGATTTGTCAGTACAGACGGCACTATGGCTCTTGTGTGTTTATAGGATACACCTCGCCTCTAACGCTGCTTTGTCTCCAAAGCCGGGCGTTGGGAATCTAGCGGAGACTTTGTGGTGAGTACTTAAATGGTGGCCATGCTGCTTATAAAAAGTAGAGGGAACTGGGGTTGTTAAAAAGCAGTGGTTAAATAGTCTGAATGTGCCCCCTCCCCCCCAAAATCTAAGGGCAGCTGGATCGCAGTACACTCAATAGCAAAACCTGCCCCTTGCTCTGGGTTCAGTTCTTGTAGCTGAACTAGCCTTCTGAACAGTAGTGGTGGTGGTTTTGTTGGCACTGTTTTCCTTAGTGACTGTAGTACCTGCAGCTAAGGGATGGGTGCCCATAACATCCACCTGCCATTTTCCAACTCGTATCCTCCCACTCCAGATGCCACTTCCAAAATTCCAAACACTTAACTTCTGCCACCGCCCTGCCCTAACCACAGCTGTTCCATCGCCTATGGTTCCTGCTTCCATTTCCTTCCGTCTATGCTCTACTTACCCCCTGGCTTGCTGTTCTTTCATTCCCTTCCTATCACCACCAAACCACCTTGCCGTTGTAAAGAGAACGTTCTTTATACATCACGCTAATCCCTCCCCCACGCCCTCTGCAGCTGCTCACCTAGTTCCGTCCTCTGCGCAACTAACTCAACAAGCACAAAACGACAAGAGTAACTTCCATGGCTGTAAACCCCAGGCCTGCTGCTCAAGTCTCCACAGAGAGGGAAGCAGGTGGGGAGTGCAGCACAAGGAAAGTCAACCTGGATCCAGTCTGTGGATTGTTGGAATACAACGCTGTGTGCAAACCATCTCACACGCACAGCAGGAGAGAGGCATCAGGAGCCGAGGGGCGAGAATAAGCAGCAAAAAGGTAAGAACTAACTCCAATGGAAGTGTCTTTAGGGAAACCCTGTCTCTAGCCTTTGTAAAGTTACTTAGCTGGAAAGGCGCACAGACTTCCCCGCTTAGGGCTCTCTCCTCCCCTGGATTAGGTAGTTGCAATGCTTGGAAAGGGGAGCTCTGTTACAAGCGAAGTGTCTTCTAAGAGCGGCAGCAATGGAGGCTAGATGGAGTCTAACGAGATGCTGTACCATGAACAATGGCCCTTGCTAATATTGGCCTTTGGTTTTGAAGAGCTCCCTAGCGTAATGTTACCTTTCAAAAGCCTTGAGCAAGATGTGGGGGGAACAACTCCTAGTGCATCGCGAGAGATCCCACTGCCACTCTCCGCTCCACCGTAGTGCCAGCCCGGCCCGCACCTCATCTGGCACGAGAGCACGCACGCCACATGCACTCTGACACCTAATACTTTATATACAACGAACATTCCCGGAAAGAAGCACTTAATACATCCTTTAAATAACTCTGACAACAGTGTTCTGTCTCCTATCTACATGTGTCAAACATGGTACCGATGCTATGAAAATATAGCAAATATATACATTTCAAAACCCCGTATAAATTACTTACA